CACGAAAATTATTTTTGCTTGAAATCTCTGAAGGAAAGATCATGTCACAGCAACTCATTATTGAAGTAGTTCTAGTAAGATTAATCCATTTAATTTGGCTTCTGCTTGACCCTAGCTCTGAATACAATATAATTTAAGAAAAGCCCTGTATTATTTCTCTCAGACATGAGTTTTGATAGCATTTGTCACTGCTGAAGGGGAATGAGAAATTTGCTCTGACCTCCTTGGCAGTATTTTCCCTTTCTGGACCCAGCTGTGTGCGGTCGGGGAAGCCTGAGGTCTGTGTCTGGGGGATATGCTGGGGGCAAAACACAGCTACAGAGCAAAGTGAGAACTGTGGCCCTTTGACAGAAACACGGTTGCCTGAAGCAGAGAGTATGAGCATGGCAGGTAAGGCAGGAAAAATGTCAGGCTATGCAAAAGCACACTTTTCTGTCAATGTTCTTAGCTTGCTTCCAAGGTGAAAAGCCTATGCGGCTTGTTATTATTATGACATATTTAAATGGAAATGAAAGCTTTGTATAGGACAAGCGATAGCTTTTTACACAGAAATTAATTTCTCATGAATTAAAGGGCCCCAGAGATTCAAGTGTAGTAATGCGTTAACATGGATGCACACTGCTGCTGGCAGCAAGAGGAAGTGACCCCTTCTTCAGCTTTGGTACTAGCTGCTTTCCTTTGTTCCTCTTTTACAGACTTTTACACCAGAACACTTTTTTTCCACTGCATTTCACGCAGCAAAAGCTTTTAGGCACTTTTGGTTTATAAAACTTCTACATATAAAATTTGCTGCATGGAACAATTTATGGAGGGGAATATTCCCTCTGCTGCTTAACTTGTGGGAATCTCATCTGAGCACTCAGTGACTGTGTCTGTAACAAACAGCAGTTCTGTAGGAAAGAGGGAACAATTTTTCTACATTTTTTTTACTGCCAGAGTCATTTTTCTTTTGAAAGCTTTGTATGCGAACTCATTTTGACTGTATTTTAGTTGAACTTCTTGATATATTTTGCAGGGCTTGACTAAAGATTCCCAGTACTGATTTCCCAAGTCACCAAAACCTGTCAGATCTCAGTGCAATGGTTTATTTAAAAAATGTCTTCACTCTCTGAATGTAAGAATACTGGAACTGTGGAGGAACATATATTACAAGACCTTCAGGAAATTGATACATTTTCCTTTCATATGCAAACTTGTCATTCTTATAACCCTAACTTGTTTTATTGCTAGTCTGAAATTTTCTGAAGATTCCCTTCATCCTTTGGCTGCTGCTGCTGAGATTCTTTATAAATATTAATGATTGCTTCTCATAGACACTGTTTAATCTGCATCACTCCACAGATGTACGCCAGTCGGTTCATTTATTATTACTTTTTGCTTGGGTTTTTTTTTTAACCGTCAGAGAAGAAACGACTTGGTTCAGGTCTGTTTGCTGACTTTCTATTTGTATTCCAGGGCGGTGTTCACACTATTAGGTGAGACTTTCTCACAGAAGAAATTGAAAATGCAATCGTGTCTCTGCTAATCCTGTTCTGCTTTGAAGATGGTCAGCATCACAGTACTGTCTATAGTGCCCTAGGTGCCTTCTTCTCTCAACCTTACTGATTCAATCTCTCCCCCGAGGTGCCATGCCACGTTTCTCCAGAGTCACTGTGGCAGCGTTTTCCCCATGTGTCCTTCTGGTGCCTTTGGCCTCATGACCTTGTGCCTGCAAACCCCTGTATTGCTGTTAGGGTGGCTTCTTGTGGGAGGTGACCACCATCGGTGTGAGAATTGCACCCTTTCCCCCCGCCTTTCCTTCACCTCTTGTTTTGCAGATTTTAGTTTACAGCGGAGAAAAAGCAATAACACAGAGCACAGAAAATAGCAGTCATTTAAATATGGGATTAATATTATCCAATAATATTTGCACACAGAAACTTAACAGCCAATGGATATACAGCACTTACACCTAATTAGCATATTCCAATCGGTGCTAACAGCATCATAAACTGGAACAAGTACAAGGGACTTTGAGCAAATCACAATGGAAAGTACTGAGGGGAAAAGCATGATGGAAATCATCCTCCTTGACATCTTCGGTGTTGCTACCTGTTGCACTGGAGAGAGCATCCAGAGGAGGACTGTTGCTGCTCTTGCTGGCTGGCTACAGGGGACAGCTTCCCTCCCGCTCCCTCTCGCCCTCTCCTTCTGCCCCTCTCCTTCTCCTTCTCTCCATCCTTTTCCTTTATCCCTCCCCTTCCCTTTCTCTCTCTCTTTCTTTTAGTTTTTATTTTGTCTGAGAAGTAACTTGCACTCTTATAATGCATGTATCCCACGAGGTATGGACCACCCTAATAAATCTTTGTGCGTAAGAAACTGTCTTGACATCGTTTGTGCAATAGTACCATTCAGCAATAAGGTGCTCCTTAAATGTGGATCTCCACAGTTTCAAAGTTCAATCTGATGTGCTTTGCAACAGTAAAGGCATGATCACTTTGGAAACAGCTGTGGGATTTGAATACATTACATCTTTCTCCCAAACTCCAGCTGTCTATTACTAAGTGCTGGGGATAATGGTTATCTGGGAGTGCTGCTCATCATATACCCTGCTGAGTGCAGTTCACACCCTCCAAGTGATGTTACAAGGCTGTGTCACTGTCGAGCTTCACCTTCACCCTTTGTAGCCCCTTTTGGCTCCAGGAGTAGCCCCTTTCAACTGTAAAGTACTTCCCAGCTAACACAAGACTTTATTAGAGACAACATCAACACACCTGATCTATTCCAGTGACGTTAAGTCACCGCTGAAGATGATTCAAACCAGACGTGCACATTTCAGTGAGTGTGCACTAAAGTGGATCCACCCTCCATCCCAGAGCCCTCCTGTAGAGGCTGTAATCTCGAGTTCAAGGGCAGAAATGAGTGTCTGGGGACATGTCCTTCTCAGACTGCTGTAATTTAATTGAAAGAGCTCCTGTGATCCCACCTATAAATTCTTACAAGTTAGTTGTGGCAGTTGCTACATGTTTGATGTTCTGGAGTGTAGTACAAAGCCCACTAATACCAAGGCTTTTACACAGCCTGAAAGACTAGCTGATTTAGGGAAGCAATCCAGAAAATCCAAGCACTGATGCAGGAACTGATTCCAGCCTGCTAATAAAAGATGGTTAGACACAAGGTTACATGTGAAATGCTGCGACTGCTGGGAACATTCTTCCCCTCCTTCCAAAACTTGTTTACACTGTCCAGTGAGAGACCCAGTGTTATTGGAAATACTATGTTTAAATAGTACTATTCTATTTTCTAAAAGATTTGTCCCTTCGGAGGACTTCTTTTGGGAAACTAATAGGATTTTGGTGGAGGTTATGTGCTGTGTAGTGTGTCCTCAACCAAAGCGGTTCTGGACATTTGCACAGGGCTGAACCTCAGCCACAGGCAACAAGGCAACACTTAGACAAAGAAGATGCCAGTCATCAAGGGGTCTATTTTAAGTATGGATAGAGGGACACATTCCCCTTTCATGTGCTTAATGCTGTGCTATGTAGATTGCAATTTGGGCATTTAAAAGTCAGAAGATGTTGAACCAGATTCCCTTTAGTCTCTCTTCCTGTCAGTGGGCATCTCCAAAAGGCAGTTCATCTCATCATTGAGTAAGTGCCTATGATGGGTTATGCAAAACCCTCTTTGGAAGTTTCTGTTATTCTAAAGTGATTATAATGTAAGCCTAGGATGACTAGTTCAGACCTATGCCTGTAAAGATGGGTTGAGATTAATCCCAGAGGTGACAGTTTTTTATCCTTTCTTTTTTTTTTGCATGCAGCCTTCCCTTCTATTGCATTTGAAATCTGTCTTTGAATGCACTTCTGAGCAGATATTATAAGGTATGCCAGCACTGACCATAATTTGTGGAAAGCAGCAATCAAAGAAAATTAAATGCTAACGAGAGGTTGTTCTTCAGAGATTTGCACCTCATATTGTCTTCAGCTAAATTATTGCCACAGTGCTCTGCACAGGTATAAGTCATTTCTGGAGGCGCAGCCAATGGTGAACAATGCTGCTGTTAATTTACAGCTTTAAAGTTAAAAAGAACTTATTTCATTTGCACTAACTGTTCCTGATGCCCAAGCTCTGGGGCACTTTAATTTTAGCTCCCCCAAATTAGACATAGAAAAGTTAACATTAAGATTTTAGCTACCCAAAGTTTTAGTGGTTTATCCAGGATTTTGGTTCTGAGCTACCACTCATTTAATTTCTCATAAGCCTTTGATAAGTTCTTTCTAGCACATTCCATGTCCATACCATTATTTGAATGCCTCTCATCTTAATCTAATTTCTGTAAAGCAAAGAAACATTCAGGAAATATAAAAAAATTAATATCTGATGTCTTCAGTCAAAGTAACAGGAGGAATTCTAATGTAAACTATTTTCATAGAATCATAGAATAATAGGACATCCCAGCTCGGAAGGGACCTCAAAAGATCATCTGGTCCAACCTTTCGTGGGAAAGGGAGCCTAGATGAGATTATCTAGCACCCTGTCCAATCGCATCCTGAAAACCTCCAGTGATGGGGACTCTGCCACGTCCCTGGGAAGGTTCTTCCAGGGAATGGTTGTTCTCACTGTAAAAAATTTCTTTCCTATATTGAGATGAAACCTCTCCTGGTGCAACCTGTACACATTGCACCTTGTCTTCTTCATGTGGCTCCTTGTGGAGAGAGAGTCTCTGTCCTCTTTCTAGCTGCCCATTAAGTACTGGAATACTGTGATAAGGTCCCTCCAAACCTTCTCTTCTCCAGGGAAAAGAGACCAAACTCCTTCAGTCTTTCCTCACAGGGCAGGTTCTCCAGCCTTTTGATCATCTTTGTGGCCTTCCTTTGGACCCTCTCCAGTCTGTCCGCGTCTTTCTTGAATTGTGGGGACCAGAACTGGACACAGTACTCCAGGTGCAGCCTGACAGGTGCTGACTAGTGTGGGATGATCACATCTCTGTCTCTGCCAGAAATTTTTTTTAGAGCTACTGAATCAGTTGTCCTGGAAGAGGATTTTGACATAAGCACCTTGGAGAATACATAGAAGAAACATAGCAGTCTTGTTTCTTTCCAGTGCTCTTTTTTCTGCCGCCTCTGGTAATCACTATCTTGTAGGAGCGTTCTGCTTTTGTAGTAAAATACGGGCAGATTTCTAACTCAGATAGCTGTATGAAAGGCAATTAGTTAACAAACAGAAGAGGTTTTGCTTAGTTAGGGATTATGCTGCTTTCTGCCTGGGAAGCATAGCTGTGGGGGAGTGTGAGTGTTGAGAAGCTGAAGAGATCTGTACTGCGCTAAGAGTGAAGAGGTCACTGCTGTGAGTTTTTTATATCATTTTCCTGGGAAGAGCTGTCTTTTCTCAGTAGAAACCCCACTTAATCCCAAACACTTTCTGGTGTAGATTCCATCCAGTCCCTGTTGAAAAGGAAAAAAAAAATCAGTAAGACACATCAAAGGATCATTCACCTCTTCAAATCTTCCAACACAATGGTTTCTTCTGTGGTCTTTTTTTGTCCTCTCTCAGGTTTTCTGGTACTGTATGAGCTCCCTCTTTCTTTTATCATTTCCCAGGGTAGGGCAGACAGTCTGCTGAGAGCTAGACAGTGCCATTTTCTTGGTAGTTTCCTTTTTTAATTTGATTTTTTTTTTTTTTTTATTAAGGACTCAGTTTAACATTTTGAATGTCTTCTGACGCTGTGGTTGTCATTCTCATTTTTAAAATGCCATACCATTCCATTGTGACATTTTCAAAATGCTGCTTATTGTTTACTTCAGAGCAATAACTTTATTTAACATTGACCTAATTTTGGAGGCCTTCCTGATCAGAGCATGTGAACTATCTGTGTTTGTCATGGAAATAACTTTTCGTTGGCCAAAATTGAAAGCAGGATTGGGTCTTCCATGTTTCATGAAAGTCAATAGCTTGACAGAGGAGAGAGATCCTTCTGGTGACCTGATGGATAGGCTGTGAAGAATCCATGCCTAAGATCACCCTTAAGATACAAATCTATAAGGCACTAGACTTCATTGATGCCACCACTTGTGCATTTTTGACTTCACTTTCTGATCTTTTCCTCTTCTTGTTCAGCAGCTAGACCAAAATACCCATTATTTGCTCAAAATACATTATTCACAGCAACAGTGTTAGAAATCCACCACCACCCTGCACGTGCCTGGGCTTTGTGCAGGTATCCTTCTGAAGCAGGTTGTTGCGGTGTTCCTCACTGTGACAGGGAAAATCTGCTCCTTTACTCATACAGGATTGTACGACCCTGTCCACTATCCACTTCCATCACCAGACACTTGGTTCTCCAGCCCATAACAGCCAAGGCCTTGACTTTGTAAGGAATTAAGTGTATGTTCACTTTTACTCACTGGTACTTATGTGGAACAATCTGGACAAGCAGGAACATAAGGCTGCACATAAGTTTTCGGCATAGCCTCTGTATTGACCTCCCTCAATAATCCCTCAAACTCATATCAGATCTCTTCTATGATGTTTCTTTCCATCAGGAAGAGAAGAAACCAGATACAGAATTCTGAATGTATGGAAGTTTCCCCTTTTAAAATGTTTGAGAGACTTGCATCTCAGTCTGAAAGAGGAGCAGCAGCTGCCTTTATTCTATTTATTGGAAATGACCGTCTTTTTGTAGTCTGAAAAAGGCCAGGTACCTAATTTTGCTGTTGTTGCCTATGTTTTTTCAATCTGTCTAGTCAGGCAACACCCATGAACTGCATTTCATAAAAGCAGTAATGAATTTAAAGAGCAGTGCGGGAGATTTAGGTTGGATATTGGGGAAATACCTTCTAGTGGGGATATTTAGGCATGGGATTAGGTTGCCTAGGGAGGTCAAAGAATCTCCATCACTAGAAACTTTCAGACTCTTGTTTGACAAATGTCTGCCAGGAATTATTTAGCTGATCCTGCCTTATTTAGACAGATAAGTAATATGACCTTTAAAGTCCTTTCCAGCTCTATTTCTTATGATTGCCAAGAAAGGAACAGCATATATGAATTAGGAAACAGGAGCACTCATGCCTCATCCCAGATTCTGTAACAATCTTAAAAATAGGGCTGTGTAACAGGAAATAAAACATTCATATTCCCGAAGCCTCAAGGTGCTCTGCAATAATCACGTGTGCTTTAGAATACAGAGGAAGTATCATCATTAAATAGAGAAGTTAAATGTATTTTTAGACATATAAAAGGACATGTTGTTAGTAGCCTAGCAACAGGCTCGTCATCCAACATTGTAGTGCATTTAGAGACACACAGATGTGCTTGAATGAATATTTTAAACATAGAAAAAGTAAAAATAAACTGGAAGCTCTCCTCCTTACTCATCACCACCATCATCATCATCATCCATTGCAAAAAGTTTCTGTAGAGTGTGTTCTTTTCGTGTCAGCCAGGGAGCCTTGCTGATTTCCAACAGTGTACTCAGATGTGGCAGGATAATGCCATTAATGTGGATACTGTAGCGTAACTGAAAAAATGAGTTCTGAGAAATGAGATCCTGAAGCTAAAGCCCTCAAAGATTCATTTAGTCCCTTAATTGAGTAGCTGGGTTTTCCCAAGTGGTCAGTACAAAGCAGCTACCATTTTTTTTTCATTTTGAAAAGCTGATTGTTGATGTTCAAAGAAAGAGGGAAAAGGAAAAGGAAAATAAAAAGAAAAAGAAAAAAGGCACCCTGACACAGAATCTTGGCATGAATAAGCCATTTTGTTGTTAATAAACAATGATCTATAGTGAGGTTCAGATGATTCTCAAATAGCTGTGTCCAGTTTGCATTAAATAAGAATAAGCTTTTTTTGCTGTGGAGGACTATAGCAATGTCTCTGAACAAAGCTTTGTAGCAGGTCTGAGGATGGGGTGTATAATTTTTCCATCATCCTTTGTGGAAAATTAATCATATTTTGGATAAGTTAATGTTAGGGGTGAACGCGGGGAAAGAATGTAGCCTTTCAAGTTTGGAGGATTTCTAAAGGATTTTAAAAGGTTGAGGAGGAGCTGGACCAAGAAACAAATAACCACTTCCTTCTTTGCCTCTTATTCTAACATGCAATTAAGGAAAATAAAAGAACATTGTTTAAGACATCTGTGACAAACACAAGATAACCTCTCCTGAGATGAATGAAACCAAAGCGCAGGCAATCATCAATTAATGACCTTTCTAGCCAGAGAGAGGAGGGCGATACAGATGCCTAACAGAAGGCATATTATTCCTCCCTTCCGTCACTGTGCAGTGTATGTATATCTACCCACAGTCAAGACATGACTTGCCGCATTTACAAAGCAGGCTTAAAGAAGGATGCCAGGAGGCAGGACTGGTAGGGAGCCATTGCGGTGTGCTCCAAAGGGGGTCGGCACCTTTAAGCACTGAGGAATATGCTGCTTTAGGTGTTACACCCATCTCATTTGAGAACAGATCAACAGATAGGGTGACTAGAGCGTTAGCCAGAATCTTTGTTAGCAACATTTTATTGTGTAATGACGGTTGGTGATCCCAAGCTGGCAGAACTCTCCTTACAGCTTCAGTTTTGAAACTGTACTGAAATTAGTGCTGGAACCTTTTAATTCAAGGCAGAATTTATACATTCTGCATTTAGCTCTCCCTTGCTTGGGATAGCTGTCAGAGCCAATTTGATTGCTGTCCTAAATGAACTGGGATCACAGCAACTGATCTTAAAAAGCTAGTAGCCTGTCCCAGGCATAGGATGTGGTTTAAAAGAACATAGAAAATTGGAAATTTGTGGGGGGTGGGGGTGGCACTAATTATATTGGTTTAAGAACAGGTATAGTCAAAGTGATACATAAAACAATACAGTCAAGGATGTATGCCCTTCAGCGTAGTTAAAGGTATACCAGAACAAAACTGCTTGCATGAAAACAAGTAAACTATGCCATAGCTTGATTTTTATTTCCAGCTACTTTCTTTCACAGCTTCTACCATATACATGTGTAAATGACATACTAGAAAAGCTGTCTGACAAAATAAAACTATGTTATACTACATATTTAATCTGGGTCAGGGTTATTTATAGGAAATTTTCCATGGGTCCAATAGGAAAATGTGGGACAGACTGACAGGTCTTGCATGCCTTGGAGATAAGACATTGACCTCGGAGTGGTGGTGTAGCTTTCCACACTGGCCCGTTGAGTAGAGGGGGAGCAGTAATTTAGCAAGTATAGGCAGCATAGACTTTCCAATGATACACACCAACTTTATAATGCCTGTGCAGACGCTAGTGGAAATGAATCAAAATAGTCTCCCTTTTAACTCCTGGCACCATTTCAAATGTGACACATTTTATTTCTGAGGTATATCTTCCTTCCATTACGTAGAACTAAAGAGTCATCTCTGACCGTGCCATATATTTCATTAGAAGAGGAATCCTGCTTGTGATCACTAGCATATTCTTTTATTAGTATATAGCTTTGTTTACAGGAAATTTAACCTACATACATCTCCTTTGCTGAGAAATCCCATGTGCAATCCTTGCAGAAATATTGAGTCCTTCTAGAAGGGAGGCAGCGGTTATCATTAGATGATATTTTTACAAGGCAGATGACATTACAAGGATGTAAATGTAGTCTTTCCCATTGGAATGATCTGGTTAGATTCACTAGGGACTTACAGACTGAAGCTAATGTGTACACTTAGCAGTGCTCCTTGGGAGCTGACGTATTTTCTTGTATTTCAGAAGAGGGTGACATCTGCCCCATCACTCTGCAAGCGAACATGAATATGCCTCTGGTCACAATTCGATTGGCAAAAAAAGTGGTGAGAGGCAAGTTTGGACTTGGGAGCAAGCTCAAGCCAAGTCTAGAAATGCAGTGGGGATCCTGCCGTAAGCTGAAGTGCACCCTAGGAACAGTAATTAATTTGAATTCATCTGTTCCTCTTGTTGCTCAGGATGGATAAAAAGATGTGACTTCATTCACAGATACCAAAGGATTTGAATTGCACAACGTACTTTTTTTTTTTCCAAGTTTGCTTCAACTCTTTGTAAACTTTGGTGCCATTCTGACAACAAGTCTCTCATAGTTAGGTCTTTTAGTATCCATTAGATGGCAAATGCTCTCATCTAAAAAGGTTTTCATCATCTAGACCAGATGGTATAATTCATTTCTGTTATGAATGCTTTTGAATGTGGACAGTATAAAGACATGACAAATATACAGAAGGATGGCTGGAAGAAATCACATGTAACTAAATGGTTCCAGGAAGATCAGATATGTCATTTCTGTACTTTATGTCAGCAGAGATTACTGCAATTTGTCTCGTTGTTTTTTTATGGCTGTATAAACACACTAGAGTTAGTGAGCTGAATATACAAAAAGAGCACTCATTTTAACAAGTGAATTTACAAGTAAGAGTAAGATCCATTGAGTAACCTTGCAGAACTTGCCATGAGTTAGGTGGTTGGAAGAGGCCTGGACACTAAAGCACTGATATGAGGTGCCTACGCACCCACTAAACTGCAAAGGACAGGTGTCAAGGCCCACACAAGCCAACAAACAAATACTCAAGAAAGAGGTAGACCTAAAATTCTTCTGTTCTGTGATTTTGTCTCCAAAGCTGAGTCTTCTGTTGGAGTTGGTTCTCTTTTTTTTTTTTCCTTTTTTTTTTTCCTTTTTTTTTTCCTTTTTTTTTTTCCTTTGGAGAACTGAACAGAGCTAATATTTAGTTTGTTTCCTTTTCAAATGTGCCAAAGGCTGGCTTAGCTGGTGGATCATTAGTGGTGTCTGGTTCTGAAATTACAGTCTAGTGGTGAGAATACTTGTCCAGGAAGGCAGGCACTTAGCTTCAGTTTTCTGCTCAGATTGTGAGGCTTCAAACTCACAAATCACACAGCATTGAAGAGTGACCCTGTGCACAGTAGAGTCCATTTATTCCTGATGGAATTTTTAGTGAATTTACTCAAAATTCTCCTGCAGTGTTCAGCAATGTGAGCAGCAAGTGCACACAGGTCCTTTTCTAATGCATACATGTGTGTGCTGATATTATTTGAACAGGGAAATAAGACAGTAGAAATGTTGCTAGTTACTAATACTATTACCAGCACTAGGTTTGTATGGGGCAAGAACTGCAGATCATTCCAAAGATACAAAAATTTTCCACTGAAGAAAAAACAAGGAATTACTCTGCAATTTAATGAGCAATTAACCTATTAATCTTGTCTTCTAACTCTGCTTTAGGGCAAGTAGAATGAAACACAGCTCATGGGCTCTTTCAGCTTTACTCCGTGCTTTTTTGAGAATACCTCAAATGCTGCCAAAGAACTGCTCTTTAACACACATCCTGAATCTTGTTACATTTGGTCCCCTGCCTTTTGTTTTTACTGAATACTGAGTTTAACATGAATATTGATAATATTACAACCCCCACTTCCCACCCGAGCCTACCCTAGGCCCAGACACTGTTGTGGCATACAACGCCACATGTGTCAAACTACTCAGATACAGGGGAATTAGGGTTTAGTTCCTTCTGTCCAATTGAATGAAGAATGGCTAAAACTTCACTGGCTTCTCAGGCATTTTAAATGTCTTTTTTTTAATGTATCTTGAAGCCCTCTTTAAATGTCTTCAGTATACTATAAACCTTTACTTCTGCAGATGCGTTACTTGTTCTAGCCTTCCACTTAGGTTTTATTCCTGTTATATCATATGCCTGACACTCCCCATCATGGGTTTGGTGATTGCTAACAGCCAAAGGTTGAACAGAAGTATAGTTCGTTCAATGTCCTTAACTCATGGGAATACCTTCTACAACAGTCTTTTAAAGGTACAGGTCCCCATTAAGGTTATACTTAATTCACTTTCTGGATTTACTTGAAGGTGCCATTTCTCCACTTAATTGTAATTGGCTTAGCCAGGACAACCAATTTATTGGGATTTTTTTCCAAGTGAGACCAGTTTAGTCTAGTGGTAATGAACTCTCCATAGCTGCTACTTAATCTTTAGAAATAATACCATTTAACAATCATTCACTTACTCTACCCTAAGTTGTTGTCTTGGGCAATTTTAATAATTTAAAGAGAATGTGGTCAAAAGCAGTTTTATTAGATTTAGTTTCATATTTGTTCAGATGTCTAAGAATTTCTCCTGATGGTTGGGCAGAATATTTAATAGGGGAGACAGGACACTTGCAAGGGTCTCAGTTTAGTGAGAACTTGCTGAAAAACTCCATCCAGAAAATGCACTAAAACTCCTCTCTGGTGAAGCAACAGCTTCCATAGTTCCTTTCTGGCTAGGCTTCAGGTTTTGTCAAGCTCCCATTCAAAACCATAGCGAAAGAGTTGTCGGTGACTTAATACAAACATAAGATTAGGACCACTCAATCTAGAAGGATTTTCCCCACCAACCCTGAGGAGATAGATGCTTCAGGGATCCTGGGAAAGTCTGGCTAAGAAGGTAAGTAAACAGGCCTCCTGCCCAGCCAGCTTCCAGCATTCGCTTCTTCCTCGTATCCTCATGACTGAGACCTTCAGCCAGGCTTGATGTGGTTGCACAGCTGCTTGCACACCCCATAACCACGTCCCCAAGGTAAGATAAGACTGAAAGTCTTCCAGAATTTTCTTCATAAATAATGAGGAGCCAAACATCAGCTTTGATGTTTCCTTCTGCCCCACTTTGCAAGCCTGAGGAAGGTGCTAGCTCTGCTCAGGACTTAAGGCCAACTACAAAAAACCATACCGTGGTATATTGCCAAAAGGGGCTGCTTTGGTCATTTTTTGCTGCTGATTTACTTCACTCTTTGTGGAGGTGTAGCAGTCATAATGCTGCCAGTTTAAAACAAGAACAGACTCACAGGTTCTTCTAAAGCAATAAAACACGATTTTAAGCCAAAGAACAAATATACATTGGGGGTGGAGTTGTTTGGCTTTGTTTTAAATATTTAGTGCATGCTTGAGTCATTTTGTCATGCTTTTTGGTGAAAATATGAGAACTATAAGCTTACCTGAGGCTTTCGTGCAATGTTTTAAAAAGAGCAGCCTGGGCTTTAATATGTTATTGATTGCTAGACTTTCAAGAAAGTTGCAGAGGCTGGAAATAACATTTTTGTAGAGGTTTTTCTCTGTGTGTATGCTGAAATTAGGAAAAAAAAGAAGCATGCCAAAGGGAGGTTAGAATATCACACTTCATACATTGAAGCATGGAGAGGCTATCAGAAAATTCCGAAATCTGAATTTCAAGGACAACAGTCCTAACATTCCTCCTCAGTTTCCTCACCTCCTCCTCAAAGCCTGCCATCTTTATTCTGTTTCAAAAGCAAACAATATACTCCTTGGAACTATATTGACAGATTTAGGGATAAGACCTTTCTAGCAAAAATGCTTTTTTGTGCAAGTGAAATCAACAGCCCTAACTATTCCCTGGTAAGTTGTTTGATGGCTGAAGCTCGCACCTGTAATTACCCTTCTTTTCTTTTCTTGCCTTGGCTATTGGAATAAAGATGAAAATGTCTCTTTTTTGTCTCCCAAAGAAAATTTGAAGGGAAAGACCAGCATTCATATATATGTCACTTCTCTTGTTTTTGTGAAGAGGCTTAAGGGAAGGGATTTTCTAAAGCAGCTTAATATCCGCCATAGAAGCCCTACAGACACACAGCCAAACAAGAAGGGCAAACTAATGATATCAACAGAAATAATCTATAACAAAGGAAGAAAACGCAGCTGATGATAGATATATATCTAAGGAGAGTGGAAAGAACTGAAACAAGAATGTGAGAGCAGGAGATACATTTCTTCCAAAGCACAATGGATCTTATTAAGTTAAAAAACCATTACAGCTTATTTAACTAAGCAATTATTTTTACTTTCTCTCTCTTGTTTGGCAAATCTAGCTCTAGGATAGGTATCCAAAAGGGGGAAGCTGAACATTCATGGTAAGCAGAAACAGCTGGTAAGCTAATCAACTGAGTCAATGTTTCTGGTAAAGATGTTCCTTACATATGCATTAGCTATCTATAAATATATATAACAGGAAGCCAAGCTCACTTGCTGGGAGAGGTAGCAAGTAAAAATTAGAAGGGGTATTTCTAATCTATCAGTTCCAACTAGGAAAAATATCCAAAGTAGTTTTAAAATAGTAGTCTGCGGCTGGGAATGGATTCTTGTCCCATTAAAACCAATGGAAGAAATCAGGAGGAGGATTTTGCTTTTGCTCTTGGGAGCTTCAAGAAACATGACACTGCTGTGTCACTGATTAGGAAGGTGAATTATGCGTGTTGGTTTTGTAAATCTAGGTCTCTCTGCTGGCTTGTGTTGGTAGTCCCCCTTTCTAGAATACAGTTCCCTATGAGCAATGGCTCAATGATATTCTTGTGCATATTATCCATCAGTGGTATTAAGGATGGAGACAGGTGAATTGGTTCTGTTACACATGTGTTCACTGGGTCACGAAAGCAGGGTAAAGAGATAATTTATATAGAAAATTTATTCCTGTCTTCTGACTTAAAGCTTGATCCAAATCCTACCAAAGCCACTGGAAGTACTTCTGACTGGAGAACTTAGATGCAAATATATAATTCATAACTTAGAAGTTTGGCTTGGAAGAGAATACAGAAATCAACTCACATTCAGGAACAAGATTTGGGGTATAATTAAAAGTGCCTTTGTAAAAATCAAGGTATTTTTCCATTACAGTCCTGTACAAAACTAGTAGGAGACAACAAAGAAAGGTGTAACACCTTGAAGGTTGGAAGAAAATAAAGCTTTTAAAAATCAGATTGCTCTAGTTAAACACTAAAAGGCCTTAACTACAATCAGAGCTGTTGTGGGAGAGTAGTGTATGTGTGAATGAATATTCTTTCTGTATTTTAACCGCTTACTATAAACTTTACAGTTCCTGCTTTACAATTTTTATCTGGGATTATAAATATAGATTATATCTAATTGAACTATACCTGAATAATTGCAATGGGCAAATGTTTGCAAATAGAGAAGGTATGCACTGTTAGATTATATTGTGAGTATTAATGCATATTAATGCAAGAGGGAAACAGAGATAAATAGATTCCCAGTGCTTTAAAAACACTCTTGCTATCGTTCATGAATTCATTTTCATGTGAATTGAAGTGGATTTGTTGTCACAGAAGTTTGTTTTTATCAAAAGTTTCTACAAACTAACGTTTTTCAATATATAAAAGTCTTTCTAAGGAGTTTAGAGTTGAAAGCATCTAAGCACAAGAGGAAAAAAAAAAGGCTGAAAACATGCAGAAGCACTACGTTGATCCTTCACATATATTTTGAAATTCTAAGAGTCAAATGCACATTCACCAGACCCAGATGAGAGGATTCTGATTTCAAGCTGTTGTCTGCCTGCTACACGGCTCCCTGCACCTTCTTTTGCAAAAGCTGATCGGGGCAGGTCTTCAAGACAGGCTGTTGATCTGAGTGGGCTGATCTGGTCTCCACAAATAAGGCAGTGATTGTATTTCAGACTTAGCCACAGGGTGAGCATCCTCACCCTTGCTTTCCCTAGGCAGGTTGCACGGGGGACATACCCCACTTCTCCTCTGGGGCTGTTCACGCCATTTCTGCCCCAAAGCCTCTATATGAGGTGACTCGGAGGCAGAGGTGAGGCTTCTCCCTTTCCAGACCCACATGTCTAGGTAATACCTCCTCCTCTGGCACTGGCTGGTGTCCTGAAAGCCCTACTGATCCAACAGGATTAAACTGAGGATCTGTCTTTTATAAGGCATTTGTCTAAGGCTAAAGGCATTATAGGCTTTGTGCGCATTAGTACATTACTAGGACTGGTGCTAAGCTCTGGTATGTGCTCACTATCTGCTAAAATGTTTGCACAGACTTTGGCCCCGTTCTGGCCTCGGTCAGCTAGTGCTTCTCAAACAGCCTCTGGGCTTGGGGTGGTTAGCACAAGCCAGAGACTGTTCCCAAACAGCCATATTAGGATATTAAATTTTATGCATCATATTAAGAGTAGCACATTAATGTACCATATCAGGTATATTTAATACATAAAATATATTTATATAATGTATAAATATCAATATATTAGTTTACTATATAATAATACAATAATAGATCAATTTTTAATAACTACTATATAGATAACATACTATATCATTTATATAGACATATTTTATTATTATATAAAATATAACAATGTATTAATATCTGAATATTGATTATACATCACAATATTATAATATATTAATATTACTCTCTATACAATGCTAATATAACTGCTTCATTTAGGGGGAATCAGAAGGTTTGGCTGTATAGCTGTGCTATGCCATACTCTTTGTCTCAGAACCAAGGAGCAGCTCCTGCTCCATTTCACTTACCAATAGAGATGTGACCACAACAAAGTCCGGCACCTGGTCTCTAAACTGCTGCGGGTTATATTAACTTCTGAAGGCATCTGCCACAAACCAGATCCTGAAGCGAGAGATATTCGTGGTCAGTTTATGACAAAAACAGGGACTCTGCTGTTACCTGCCTGTAACCAGCAGCAGGTTTTGGGGTCACTGGGGGCCCCAGGAGCCTGCGCTCACCTTGTTTCTTCTTTTCTATTAGGATGCTTTTTCAGCTGGCTTATGCTTTGTTTATATTATCCTTAACATTCTTAGGAGTGCAAATAATAAGCAGCATTTCCATCTACAGAAAAGTAACATGCAGCCTTGTCAGCAACTCTGCAATGGTCAGAATTTGCATGTGTGTACAACACTGCTAAGAATCACAGCTGGTCTTTCTCAGATTCATAATCCACAAGAAAAGCAGGACCAGAGACTGGTAAAACAATACTTGTTCTGTCAGCTTTCCTAAAACACACTTTAATCACTTCCCTTTATCAGGCCTATACAGATGTCGTTTGCTAAGAGAAATTAGCTGCAACTAATTTATAAGCAATGAGTAATAGGCAATTTATCTAGAAGCTTACAGCTGTTGCCTGGATACAAATCTGTTCAATGCTTTTATATATAAAATGCTTTTAGGGTATTTGCAGCAATTTGTTTTGATGATAAATTGTCAAACAGAAGCGAGGGCACGTGGCATTACTACCTTAACCTCCTGCAACTGGATAGGTATAATAAGGAACAGTATCTTGTTGAGCCCTGTTTGGTGAGAAAATCCACATGACCTTTGAATATGGTTCATGATTTGCCTCTAGAAGATTAGAGATCTGAGAGTGCAAAGAGCAGAATTTCATTTAATCAGCTGGCTACATTTATTAGCAGCTGCCGCTATTTTGCAAGGTAAAACATTGGAGAAAACTATTCTAAAAACCAAAAAAACCCCATTGAAATGCACTGACTTAATAAAGGGCACTCACTATATCTCTTAAAAGTTGAACTGTTAGAATTGATTATGAGGACGTTAAAAATCTGTGAGTGGGGACAAAAAATGCAAAACAGATTATTATACAGTCTGGAGACGTGTTTTGAACCAGCTTTTTTTCTCATTTTAATATGTGCGTTTGCATTGCCAAAATCAGCCTGTGTAGAGATACATGCAAATCAAATATTGGAATTCCCAAGGTGAATGCTAAGCTGCATCCACATGTCCAGCCACTGAACTGTGTCCCAGGAACACAAGACTCTGGTGGGAAACAAGGAAATCTCCTTTGCAGAGATTTGCTGCTCACTCTGATTAAACCCATGCTCTGCTTTTGGTAGAATGAGTAGTTTGATATAACTGTAACATATCAGGTTATGAGCTAGAAGATCTATTTTTTTTGGCACAAAAAGAAAACGAAGTGGAAAACAAAAGAAAGAGGAGAGTAACTCAGAGATTAGAACAGCTGTGAAGCCTGTGGCAGTTTATCAAGTTTGGGTTTTTTTATTTTAGAAGTTTCTAACGATCAAGATTTTCCCTTTTAAAAACGCTACTCAACATTTTTACAAACTTCAAGCAAGCAAGCAAGCAAGCAAACACATAAGGCGAAATCATCTTTACCCCCTGTATTAGATTGCTTCCTCTGTCATCTTTGGCCTTTGTCTGCTTGGTGTATGTTTCCTCTAGGTCTAAAAGATCAGGATGGTCACATTGTTAAAAGAATCACTACCAAATCACTTTGGCCATAGCTATATAAAAATAAGAGAGATTAGAATGTAGCTCAGGCATATGTCGTGCTCCCAATTCTTTGAATTCTCATTTGAGTTTTGATATCTTATTTTCCCTTTGGTGTTTGCAGGTATATTATGTAGAATATAATTGTCAGCATATCAAGTTAGTATGGTGCTTCTGTACTTTTTTAAACATACCATTATTCTGTTAGGGTGTTCTGAGGATGAAAATGACTGCACCATAAAAATCAATACAGCCGTGTAAAAGCTGATGCTTTGCTCTCTCACAGAGAAAATAAACTTTTGTTTTGTGGTGTTTAGAAACATAGTCCCAGTGGTCTCCCTTCCTGTAAAATGCAGTCAGCTCTGCATGACTGATGAAAATGCTGCCACTTGACACAGATACTCAGCCAGTATTCAGGGCCTTGCTGGCAAGATTTTCCTTGGAAGATAAATTCTTGAAAGATTCAAGTATTTCTTCAGCACAACCCTCTTTATCTACAGAAATGCAGCCAGCAGTGCATTTCCCACAATGCAGACAGGGAGAGCAGCAGGAGGCAGTTTTCTGTGTTGTTTTTTGTTTGGTTTTTTTGTTGTTTTTTTTTTTCAGTTGATCCCATAGAAACATCTTTACCTGCTTGCCTCACCTTCTTTTTTGCCAAATAAAGCTAGTTTGTGAGTCATGTGGGTGGTAGCTGCTACTGTTTAATTACTGAACAAAGAGTAACTTTCCTATTTTAACTTGAATAAGAAGTGGCTGCTGTGCCACTCTTTAAAGGATGGTACGTTAAAGGCAGCACCTGTCATCGCTTCAGAGCGTCAAAGAAATTGTTCATTGAAACAACAACCTGTGGCTGTACCTCTTTAAGGTGAGATGTGGTATCTGCAGCTTGAAATGAAAACTCACCACGAAGCTGAAAAATACTTATCCAGACTTCTAAACATGAGAACATCGGACACTTTATTTCAAGAATACATGTTATGGCCAAAGTGAATTATTCAAAAGGTATCTCCAGAATAATCTTATGTTGTATAAACCAATGGCTAAAAATTTAAAGATGAGATATTAAGATGCAAAGCAAAAGCCCAAGCTTTCCCTGCAAATGGCAAAAACTGCTAGTGAGTGATCAGACAGGAAGAAATGAAGAGAATAATAAATCGAGAAAAAGCATTACCACTTCTATTTTTTGCTTTGTTCCAATTCTGTAAAGCCCTTTAAAAAGCTAGTTTTAAAGTAAAAAAAATGGAGAAAAGAAGTAACCAAGTATGGGAGAGACATAAACTGCAGCTGAGGATCCCTGGGAGTGTAAATGCAGGCAGCGTGGAGGGTCTGCAGCCTTTGCACTGCGCTACCCAAAGCTACACTGCTTTGCTGTACCACAGCCTGCAGCTGATGGACGCATGACAAGAATAGAATAGAATCATTAAGTTTGGAAAAGACCTCCAAGATCATCAAGTCCAACCATCAACCCAACATCACCATGCCCACTAAACCATGTCCTGAAGTACAAAGTCTATGTGTTTTTTGAACACCTCCAGGGATGGTGACTCCACCACTTCCCTGGGTGGTGTTCCAATGCCTGACAACCCTTTCACTGAAGAAATTTTTCCTAATATCCAATCTAAACATCCCTTGGTGCAACTTGCAGCCATTTCCTCTCATCCTATCACTAGTTACTTGATAGAAGAGACCAGCACCCGCCTCACTACACCCTCCTTTCAGGCAGTTGTAGAGAGCGATAAGGTCTCCCCTCAGCCTCCTCTTCTTCAGTCTAAATGACCCCAGTTCTCTCAGCCGCTCCTCATAAGACTTGTGCTCCAGACCCTTCACCAGCTTGGTTGCCCTTCTCTGAACACACTCCAGCACCTCCGTGTCTTTCCTGTAGAGAGAGGCTCTTCTATCATGAAGAGCATGGAGGAGCAGGGCCATTTGATGCTGAAAGATGGTGAAGGTTGTGCCGAGATGAAGAACCAGATTCAGGAACAGAGAAGGGTCAGGAGGGAATCTGGCATACCGTCAGTTGCCTTCACGGCCAGTGTGGCTGGCTATGGTGGGAGATGGATGGTCAAGCGATGCTCAGTGGTGATGGTGCAAATTTTTCTGGTTATTTTTTGTGGGTTGGGGTTGGAAGGTAAGAGAAGGTGATGGTCCCATTCTTATGAGAATCAATTCACATTCTTTATGTCTGTAATTGGTAGCTTCAAGATTATTGTCAGCACAAAATGAACTTTAGGAAAAGGAATCAACTAAAGCAGATTTTAGGGGCTACCTTCTTCCCTGAGCGCAACTAATTCGTGGTGTATATTAGCACTGTTTCACGTTTGGGAAGAAAGGGTAAACTTTTGTCCTGGGGAAATTGAATTTTATGATAGAAATAGTTTTGATTAGCAAAGTCTTTAATATCTTCTAGCCTCATGATAAAGCCTATCAGCGAAGGGTGGTAAAAACACAACTTGGAATTTACAAGTGACTATAGGATACTTAAAATGATACTTCAGTTCACTGAGCTTGTTCCCTGAAAGCAAAATATAAATGGAAAATTGGTGAAAGTGTACCCTATGGGAGAAAGAAAATCTTAATCCTAGTAGATGCGCATTTGTTAAAGTTACATGGGAAGTGCTGAAGCAGACTACGTAGGTATGAGCTTATTAATGTTCAATTTCATGGCATCAATTTTTTCTCTGCCTGTAGTTTGATTCAAGTTTCAAGAGATATTTGTTTTGACAGTTTGAAGAGACTTTATGACAATAAAATGGTTTTAGTTGTGCACATACAAACCTCTTCCCGTATTCTAAAGCATGCTAGATCAAGACTGAATTTTTAATTCTGCAGAAAAGAAAGCTGTTTTATGGCTTCTTAACAAAGCAGCTCCAGAATTACTGCTATCACACACACTTATGAAGCAAGGTTATTTTTTGTCATTAAAAAACACGGAAGACATGGCAAATGCTGAAAAGTTTTGTCCTGCAAATGTTCTTTCAATGATTGTTTGAATTGTCACGAATGGTTCCACTGAAGTCATCCTTAAATGTAATTAACAATGCATTTTTAATAATTATTAGTATCAATGTATGCAAAGTCCTTTCAAATGCCTTACATTTGAATAATAATTTAAAAGTTACCATAATAATGATCATAAATTAATGTCAAAACATTGCATGATTGTAGCAGCTCAGGCCAAAGGTCCACTTAGCCTGGCATTCTGTCTCCAGCAGTGGTCATAAGTGCAAGAACATGGCAAATATACATGACACTTCCCTCCTACCGTCCTGGATGTATTTTGCTTACTTAGTGAGTCTAAGCAGTAGAAAGGTGCCCAGCGGGTATCTTGCTGATTTGTCATCAGTGTCCTCTTGAGCCCAAATAGTCTAGTTGCACCCACAGTGTCCTCTGGCTATTACAAAACTCCCCGTTTTAAAAAGATTCTACCCACTACATGAAACATTACCTCTTTTTGGTTAGTTCAGACATTTCTGAGATATGGAAAAGAATGCCTGCTCTACAGAAAATTTAATAAAAAATGACAGTAATCTCCTGTTTTCCTCCACACTATGTGTCTATGTATTTGGTTATTGTAATCTATCTTGATGGCATAACATCTGTAAGATCGAAACCTACATTGCAGATTTGTCAACCAATCCAATGTGGATCTCCATGGCCAACATAATATCTGAGCAGCTCCTACTTTTTAGAAGAAGAAACAAGTGGGCCAGGTTAAACTCAAGAGCAAGGCTTGACCCATGTGGAAATAACCCATATGGCTTATTACACCACCTGGAGCTGGTCTCCATCGGTGGTCTTCTCCCTTCCCTGTGCAGATGATGAGGGCTGGATCCCTTTCTGGCTTCTGCTGCCAGCGATTGCTGTGGCTTTTAAAGGGTGGAGAAAACTTGGGTGCTGGAGTTAATAGAAAAACTTATAAAATGCTACAAACCATTCTCTTTCCAGGTGGAAAGTGCTGTAGATCTACAAACTCTCATTTCAGAAAGTTGTTTGTCTTTGGCCATGAGCTTCAGATGTAAGAGGAAGGACTCAGCAGCCCATGGAGCTGTACAGGGGAAATTATAAAGCAAGCAGCAGACATCCTGGCACACACATGTTCTTCTGAAGGTGGCAGCTGCTCTAGTCTGATTAGCAGCCGTGAAACTGTTCGGTTGTAAGCCAGACTGATAAATAAAGTAACTCTTTCAATACCAAATCTGCCTTTAGATGTTAGAATGAAAATACATTAAATAAACTATTGTTTATTTTCTTGTCCTACAGCATGTGTGTTACCCCTAAAACAGGACTAAGGCCCCATAATGCTGAAAAGTGCCATCTGAATGTAGGGGATTTTTTTTTTTAGGAACTCTGAGACAAATGAGTAAATTAGTTCAGACTGTTGAATGAGATCCGAATGCCCTCAGTCCGGTTAGTGAAAAGGGATCCTCATTTTGCCCTCGGTTCTGAAAAATATTGCTGGCTGTCAGCAGTGTCCAAAACTGTTTTCATTTTAGCCTTTCCAGCTAAGCTGGGCTGCTGAACAGCATGTTTGATCCCCAGAGCAGAATTAACATGATACTAGCTACAGTGGTTAGCTGGGACTATCTAGGTTGCCTATAGGAGCTGCAAAAGCTGAGCATGCTAAAGAGTGTCTCCCCTAAGCTTTGGCACACAAAGGATTTTATGAAGGGATAACACTGACTTCAAAGATAAGCAAGTTGCTACGAAAATTAAATCCTATTGAGTATGATGACAGCTGGGGAAACCAAATAAGAAGATTAGTAAAAAATGTAGTAGTCATAAGATTTAGCAAGTCGGCAACTCCTATTTGATCCTGGAAAGCATTTTTCAGATGATGGAGAAAATAGCATCCCAAGGATATTCCCTAGGTACACTGCATCGTGGTATAAACTTGATTTACACTTAAATATTGATGGCAAAGAATAGAGGAAAACACTAGAAAATAAGTGAAAACTTACAGAAGGCGATAAGATATATGCAAGGCAATCTCAGTAAAAATTCAAACCAAAAGAGATCATATAATTAGTGCCCACTGAAACACCATTTTCTTGGGGTCTCAAATTGTCGAAAGCTAAACCCCAGCCACATCATCCCAATACAGATCCCTTCGTCTGCTGGAGGTGGTAAGCTCCTGTCTGCTCCTTATGCTTCAGTATTACCATGTCCTGTTGATAAGCTTGGCAGCTGCTCGCTTGGAAATCATGTTGTGCTGCTGGTGGTGATGTCTGAGGAGAGCTGCTCAAGCAGAAAGGCTCTTTGTGTGGAAAACAGTGTCTATTTGCAGCCTACAAGACTTCATATGGGTAGCTCAGGCTGTCAAACAAGACAGCTTGCATATTCTAACATCCATGCTGCTAAAATCAGAGGTTTCCTTTAAAATCAGGTGTTCAGAGTTATTAATAGTTGTGGGGGTGTGACCCAATGAAATAATTGGAATGCCATATGGGAAATAAGAGGATTTATCAATGACAAGATCTTTCTCTTTCTTTCCATCATTTAAGGTCTCCAGTATGTTTCAGTCATATCTGGGCAAATACTGTGCTAATTAGTTTCAATTTCCCTGGGGAAAGGATCTGACATTTTTTTTTTTCTTCCCCTGAGAATGTGTTTTCACACTTTTAATCAGAATATGCTGAGACTGTCTCAAATCACAGAAGTATGTCAAAATACATAATAAAGCCTGGGTAGTGGTAGTGGCAGGTTGGCTTTTTTGTTTTATATTTCTTGGCATTTTTACTTTTTAGGAAAAAAACTTCAACCTGTACATAAATATATTTCCAGATATACTTACAAATCATGGGTGGAGATTTTGCTGATTGACTTCTGAGACTGAATTAGGAAATGGGCAGATAAAGGCAGGGTTTAGAGGCAACTGGCAGCCCTGGGAGATGCTATCAGAAGTAGGAATGACACTGTTTACTCCAAATAATATAAACAGATATTCAGGCTCCTTTTTACTCTCCCATTGATGTTTCTCTTTCAGGATCAGCTGCGCAACCTGAAAACAAAGCAGGGCTTAGTATGGGAGGATTATGCTGTTCCACTGCCATGGATTCAAATGGATGTTCCTAGTTTTCCCTTAATCATCCTGGGATGTCTCTAATGCCATTGTAACTTCAAAGTCTGCAAGAGACTCTGCTGCCCCCTTCTTCTCCAACCTTTCACCTACTTTTTATTCTTTTTCTTGCTAAATATGGCAATGGGAAGGTTTACAAAAGATTTGTGAAAAAATTATAAAACCGTATGTATGTGTTAGCAAAAATAAACTGCTAGTGCCAAAGTATTTGTACTAATTCTGAGAAGCTGTGTCAAAGACAACATTTTCTCTTTGCATTTTCCCCTAAGTGGAGCAGGTACAGGATGGTGCATGGGAGTCCCTCCATCGATTCTGACGTGTTTCGCATCATCGTGATGCTCTCCTCACCCACTGAGGCAGAGCTCTGCGTGCCGTCTTAAAATCAAAATGGCATTTTTGCAGCCTTAAAGTAGTAGAGATGGGACATGGATGGAAACCACTGTCATTCTTGGTCCATGTTATTTTCTGTTTCCTTGCTGACAAATTCTTGACAGTAGCAAACCCAGAGGATATTAAAAGTCAATTAAAAGTCTTTCTCAAAAAAATAATAATTGCCTGGTCTCTAAAGAGCCAGTACCCAGGGCCCCTGTCCTCTCTCTGCTCCTGGCGAGGAGCTGCCCAGCCCGGAGAGTCCCACTGCATCAGGGCTGCGGCGGTAGGAGAGGCAGAGCTGCTCTGAGAGGGAAGCCACATGAAGTGACCTCCAGAGACCTGGTACAACCAACATTTCTGGGATTTTGTGGTTTTGTGATTTGTGGCTGAGATACTATACTGGCATTTGGAAGCTCTGGAGTCTTTTCCCAACTTTCCTGAAGGCATCCACCTCCCTGTATGATTCTAGATCTATAGAATAGGGGTGGTAAAATCATTCTTGTACTTGCTAGTTGGTTCTTCTATTAGATTCAATACTGGGTATGTTTGCAGGGCCCGTCACCCCTGAGACTTATGTTCCCTTCATCATAGTAATGAAAATGAAGCCAGTGGGCAGTTGTGCTGCGGTTGTGGTGGGTCATGGGAGATGGAATCTGGATCAGAGTTTGATATTTTGTGTTACTTTGGCCCTCTCTTAAACCACTTTCAAAGTATTTTTATAGCATGTTTTATAGTCCCTTCAGGATCACAAGTTAGTTCCTCTTCTCTTACATTTTTCATACTAGATTTATGTTTTGGCTCAAGTCTTAAATAAATGTTTTCAGTTACAATGCTTTTCATCAGCTTTAAGAGTACTGTTTCCCTTTGCATCAAACACTTAGAACAGAAATGCGATATGCATGGAATTAAATCATCTGAATGTTTATTATTGATGATTATGTGTAGAAGGAAAATATTACCCATTTAGGAGTTTTAATAAAAGACAAAGGAGAAGTGCAATGCCAACGTGATTTTGTGGAGCTGCTCTAAAAGTAAGCAGCTGGCAATAAGGGAATAATGTAGCTTGTAAATGGTGCAAAACTTGCAGGTTATCTTTGCCAGGATTCCTGTTCTTATAGAGCTGCATTTTGCATATGGTATTTGCAGTAGGTTACTGTTCTCAGTTTTCAAATGACTAGAAGGGAAGGTTTGCATCTCTTCCTTCAGGAGCTATTTTACAGTGACTTCTGTTCAACAGCAGATGTGACATCAAACTCAGCAGAGTGCAAATATTTGTCCTTCACTGGGGTGGCTGCGAAGCCCTTTGCAACAGGCACGGATCACAGTTGGCTGGGAGGCAGCTTCTGGTGCATCGTGACTTTACTGGGAATTTTGTTTCATGCAGGCTCTGGTATATTTGCAGGGAGAAGAGGGAGTAGAGTTTGTTGGAGGAAGCAGTGAATATAGTGAGGCCAGTTCTCTTGTTTATTTCAGATCTACGTAAGGCTTTCATGAGTATAGTGCTCGAGAGCTTTGATATTACATTGTGTCAGGTGACAAAGGTACTAGCTCTCTCTTTTAGTGTTTGTAGCGTCTTCCCAGCCCCGAGGCTGTATAAATTGTATTACCTTCTCTTTGCAGCTATTGCTTTTGCTTTGGGGGGGCTGGTTGCGGTGGGGGGGGGCGTGCCTGGGGTGGCTGTTGTGGCTCCAGACCACCAGCTGTGGTACACTGCTCCCTGCCTCAGGCCAAGCATCTCGGATCTGCTGAGAATAAAAAAGATGAGTCGCCAGATTTGTAAAGGCAGTGTGATGTGTAACACCTAAATACCTTTAAAAAGGCAACTTTTTAGTCTTCAGGTTCTTAAGGAATATAAATACTTGAGGAAAGGGCAACAGTATGAAGAACTGTGTGTTTGGCATCACCTACATCTTACTCTGTTCAAGGGGGCTGGAGGAAAGGGCAGTGGAAATCTGTAGTCCTTATTTTGCAGAAGGGAGATGTTACACGGCCATGCATTAGGAACAGCGGTGATGATAAGTTTCATACGTCTGACTAGGCCTCTGGTGCATCTTCACATTGTTTGTGGGATCCAACACAGAGCTGCCTGGCTGAGTCTGGCTCAGGGAATTTCTTTTGTAACAAAAATGGACTTTTGCTGTACAGGACAGGAAATGGTCTGTGTGGTGAGCAAAGAATATCAGGGTTGATTTAAATTTTAAAAATTCATGACTCTCCTTTTGTTTATAGTCTTTACTCAGATCCCTTGAAAATCACAAATCTTCTGGGAAGAAAAGCAAAATGAACAGGCACTTAATGCTTTTAATCTCCCTGCAGTTCTTAAATATTATTGGCTTCTGCTTTTTCTCTAGAGAGCTGCAGAAACATGGACTGTCATGCAGGTGTCAATATTCATTTCAAATGGGCCATTCCCAGCTATAGCTTGTCTGAGAGATAACTTGTTTCTGTTTCAAAAGCCATCAATTTGCTCATTAGAATTGAGTAAGGGGAATTTCCCAGAAGGCTACTGATCCTGTCAAATGTTGAGGTAATGTAAAATAGTGATTTCAAACATTGCACATTGTTAGAGACTGTCCTGCAAGAAAAGGCAGGACATATTCTATCATATTATAAAAAGTAATTCAGTAACTC